GCGCGGTCGCCGGAACGAAGGACGTAGGTGCACGGACCAAAACCCCCACCCCGCTGACGCTGCGTGTACCACTCACGGAGCTGCTGGGGCGGGGGGGTGTCCCGCGAACGCTGCTGCTGCTGCTGCTGCTGACGCTGGCCACCACCAGAGCCGCTACGCTGCGGGGCACCACCCCGACCAGCTCCACCCCCTCCGCCACCGCCACCTCCACCTCCACCACCACCGCTGCCTCCGCTCCCACCGCTGCCGCCACCACCGCCTCCTCCTCCGCTGCTGCCACCGCCACCACCGCCCCCGCCACCACTCCCACCGCCACCCCCACTCCCTCCGCCGCCTCCACCGCCACCTCCACCGCCCCCGCCAGTTCCACCCGCGCCCTTGCCCCCCTTGCCCCTGCCAGGGCGGCGTCTCCCGCTAGGGGCAGACGCCGCGCAGACCGACTCAAGACCAAGCAGGTCGGCAGCAGCAGCAGAGGCAACAGAGGGCAGCAGGGGGGAAGGAGAACACCCCTCAAAGATGGGGGTGCGAGGGTCACCACGAGAGGCTCCTACAGCGACGATGCTCTTCTCCGCCGCCAGGAGGGACTTCTCGAGGAGGTCGACAGTGAGAGTGGTGGGACAGACTGAGAGGAAGTGGTCCCTGACTACGCGAAGGGAGTCAGGGAGGCGTGTGACTATGTAATAGAGAGTGATGTACATGGGGGGGGGGGTTCGTGGCGCAGAACTCAGCAGGAAGGGCGGCGCGGTAGCGAGTGTCACTAGTGCGGAGGTGCGTAATGAGGTCAGCGACAGTGGGAAATGCAGCAAGGTCAGGAAAGAGGTACGGTAGCATGAGGCGGCTCAGGGCAGCAGTGGCAGGGGAAGAGTAGCGCGCAACTACAGCGTCGTACAAGGTCTGAGCACTCTTGTACTGACTAAAGTGCGCGCGCTCAGTGGTAGGCAGGTGGCGACGCACAGCAAGACGTGCAGCAGCATCGCGGGTGGCCCACTGAGAGCGAACAGTGGGGTCAGCATCAGCAGCAGGGGCAGGAGAGGCGCCAGAGGTGAGGTCAAAGAGGGAAAGACCGTCCGCCCTATCGCACTGTAAGAACAGCTGCAGGTCGTCGACCCAGACCTCAAAGTCAATGGCTCGACCCTCAGCGTCAAAAGCGAGGACACTAGGGGTAGCCATGACAACGACAGTGTAGTAGTGCAAGCAGTAGGGGAAGGGCACGCAGTAACAGTGGTGCTGTGCTCACCAGGCAGGGCAGGTCGGGCGGCTCGGCAGTAGGGCGGCCCGGCAGCTGGGCGGCTCGGCGGCTCGGCTGCTGGGCGGCAGGGCGGCTCGGCGGCTCGGCTCCCGGGCGGCTCGGCGGCAGGGCGGCTCGGCGGCAGGGCGGCTCGGCTCCCGGGCGGCTCGGCTGCTGGGCGGCTCGGCGGCAGGGCGGCCGGGCGGCTCGGCTGCAGCGCGGCTCGGCGGCGGGGCGGCTCGGCTGCTCTGCTGCTGGGCGGCTCGGCTGCGCTGATGCTGGGCGGCTCGGCCGCTGTAGAGAAGTGGCGGGGCCGCTTGATAGGGCGGCGAGGGCCGCTGGGTAGGGCGGCGGGGCCGCGAGATAGGGCAGCGGGGCCGCGTGGTAGAGTGGCGGGGTCGCGCGATGGGGCGGCGGGGCCGCGAGGAAGGGCGGCGGGGCCGCTAGGTAGGGCGGCGGGGCCGCGCTATGGGGCGGCGGGGCCGCGAGGAAGGGCGGCGGGGCCGCTAGGTAGGGCGGCGGGGCCGCGCGATGGGGCGGCGGGGCCGCGAGGAAGGGCGGCGGGGCCGCTAGGTAGGGCGGCGGGGCCGCGCGATGGGGCGGCGAGGCCGCGAGGTAGGGCGGCGGGGCCGTTAGGTAGGGCGGGGGGGGGGGGCCGCTAGGAGAGAGGCGGCGGGGCCGCGAAGACGGGCGGCGGCGCCGCTGAGACGAGTGGCGGGGCCGCAGTGAAGGGCCGCTAGGGCGGCTCGACGAAGTGAGGGCCCGGAGCGCGACTCGGGCTGAGCGCGCTTCGGGCAGGAAAAAAAAATCGATGTGGTGGGCCCTAAGCACAGTTCCCAAGGGGGAACCTGCTCGATACCATGAGAAGATTTGAACAAGAAAAATGAATGAACTATGAATGAAGTGAGTACATATAGAAAACCCTAATTGGGTTGTACCCCCTATGGGATACCCCACTATAGCCTACACAACAGCATAAGCTATAAATATGTTCTGACAGGCGAAGCCCCGTTAGCAGTAACGGGCGAACAACGGTTGCTGCTGTACGCGGTGTTGCAGGGTGCGCTAAGGAATATCGAGAAAATTCCTTACACTACCCCCCCCTCAAGAAGCCCCCTCCGCTACGCGAATGCGTGTATATCACGGAAACCCCGGCTCCTAAGGTACATTTGTAGGGCAGGGTGGTTTTCAATGTTGGCCAGGGGCACCCAGCTATCTTTTTTTTGGCGTGCGATCCTTCCAGCGAACGAGGAATTCAACCCTCCTGATTCCCGTGGGGTGTCGAATCCGATGGCTCAGGATTTTTTCGGGCTCGATGGTCGGCTCCGATGCAGGGCGAGTCGTGGATGGTGGGCGGTGACGAGGCAGTTGGCTTGTGGTTGGGACGTATGGGCGAAGCAGGCTGACGTGGAATGAAGGGCTGATGTACTAGTCCGTCGGCAACAGTACGTGGGCTGTCACTGGGGTAATCATGTGGCTGATCTGGAATGGTCCACAGTAGCGGGGTCGCAATTTTGGTACGACGGGCAGTCTTAAGTTCTGTGTGTCGAGCAGTACGTAGTCTCCTGACTGGTACGTGACGGGGCGGCGGTGGCGGTCAGCATTGCGCTTAGCGATGACATTGGCTTTTTTAATTGCTTCAGTGGCTCTGGTGCGGGCAACTTGCAGAATTTCGGCAAATTGCTGTGCACGTGGTGTTGGGTTGTCCGGGCTCGGCGTTATGGGCACTGTAGGGTTTTGCCCGTAATTCAGGTAGAAAGGGGACTGCTGCGCCACTTCCCCCACTTCCTTCCTTTTCCCATCCCCGTCAAATCCATGAAGGACGTGACAAGCAACTTTTCTCCGAAGATATGGAGGTTTTTCCTTAGCGAAAGTGCAAAAAAGTTGATAGCCCTGATTTCAAGTGCCAGATTGGCTCTAAGCCCGTAAATTTCAGGGCAACTTTTGGGGCACCTCAGCCTCTCAAGTTCTGGCTCCAAACCAATCGACAGTTTATCTATGAGTGGTGCTGGCGAACAGCCCCATTTTTTTGTCGTGCGTGTACCTCATCTCCTGCATCTTTATTTGGCCCCTCCCACACCAGCATAACAGCCCACGCGTCGCGAAACTGCACCCACCATGGACGCAGCATTGATCACTGAACATCAAGCTGTCATACCTTCCACATCCTGATGTTTGTTGCTTGGGTCGTTGACGCCACATTGTGAGCATGCCAAACCACGAGTCAAACGTAGGTTTTTATCAGTGTAAACCAGTGGCTGAAGAGGGAAGGACAGATCACTACAGCTCAGCTGTAAATTCTTGCCACCTCGGCGCGTGAACAGTCGCCGTCGTTGCACATGTTCGGTACACAGTGGGTCACATGGCACGGCCCAAGCCACAGCACAAACCAAACCACCAGCGACCTGATCCCCTGCCACCCCCGTAGGTTGTCCTCCCCCACTCGACCAACTCCCAAAAACCGTAGGGATGGAAGGAGCAGGTTGGTTTGGGTTGTCTAAAAATCCAGCCACATCTGGCCCTCTTGAACCGTAAAGCATCGTTCTGCAACTCTCCGAAATTGGACCAGACCGTCACAACGTAAAGGTTAAGGGCGTGTAACCATTTTGATTTTTTTTGGTGTTTTCCGGACCGTCCGTATATTTTAAAACGGACGGTCCTAATATCGAGAAACGGACCGTCCGATGTGACGTTCCGGAACCTTGCCACTGTCCGGAGAGAAACGTGACACTTTTTTGCTTGTGCTCCGACTTCGCGACTGCTGTAGTCTCGCGCAGCTCCCGCGACACTCGTAACCAAATACACAAGCTGTCGCAAGACAAATTCGTTTGCCAATCCCTGCGCAGGTTTGCAGAGTGATATTCGTCCGCCAATCCCTGCGTAGAACTGGCGGACCGTCCGAGATGGGGTTTCGGATTCGGACCGTTGGAAACGTGAAAAAGTGTCATGACGGTTCGGAATTTTGGCGACGTCGCAAGGAGTTTACCGAACAGGCTTGCGAAATATGCGACTGTGGTAACTCTTCGCTAATCCGGACGGTCCACATTTCGGACCGTCCGGAACAAAAATAGGCAAAATGGTTACACGCCCTAAGATCCAGCATGCGCTTCAGCTCTGCTTTTCCCCTCACTTCTCCCCTTCTCCGCTCAGCTCCCCTTCTCCCGTTTCAACAACATCACGCGAATCTTTTGCCAGACGCGATGGGATGCTGTGCGCACATTCAGAGTCCTGGCGCCAGCACTTCACCGCCATGTTTCCTCCCTCCCCTCCCCGCACGTGCGTTCCGCCCAAACGGGTGTTCTCTCCTCCACCTTTTCCCAAGCAGGTGTTTTCTCCTCCACCTCTCTCTCCCAAACCAACCTCTCCCCGCCCCCGAGCCTCCCATGCACTTTATCCATCTCGACTCGATCACAGCATCCACTTTATTCTAGGAATAGATTCTCTGCACCCACGCAGGTTCCCTGTCACTGTCCTCCATTCTGTGCAAGCAAGCATGCTAATCAAGATTCTATGGTAAAAATTCCCGGCTCTGGTTTATGTCCTCTCTGCCACAAGATACAGCCATTTCCACTCCACCAGCTACTGTACCTCGCTTCTAAATCAGGGGCGGGCCGTATTAAGCTGAGCATAGAAGCATATGAGAATAGAACTTGGCTACTGTCGATATCCTGGCCGAGTTTCAAGGTGAATGGCGAGCAATACCTGTGGCGTGGCAGCCTGCAGCATACAAGTCACGAGCAACCTTGGAGCGCCGTTAGAGCGTTTTCGAGACATGGACAAGGACGCGTTCGCGAGTGCGTCTTCGAAGAAAGGATGGGATGGTAAGCTGGCTGCTGTCCCGAGAAACCCGTGATTCCGCGTGTGTAGTATACTCGTTACCAATGCAGCAGAATTTTATGACAGCTGACTGCTGTAAGAGGAGTCTTGTATTTGCAATGTGCATAACGTGATGCGTAACGCGTAATCGGGTCGATTCGTCTTCTACGTGTCTTTGCACTCGTAACTCATGTATTTCCTCCGGTTCTTTTTATTCGCGCAGACATTGAACGGTCGTGCGCGCTGATGGATTCAAGCAATTTGCAGATCGACGGTATAGATCTCACAGATCTTTTGGAAGAAGACGACTCTCAACAAATCAACTTGACGTCCGACGCCGAAATCTATGAGCAACGTCAGCTTCAAGATGCGCTCGACGCGTTACACGTTTCCAACGACAAACAAGCGCCGTCTACGACGGGAGGCAATTCGTTCGCTGCACCTTTCGTCGTGCCTTGGGAATGCCTGCCCCCCGCCTCTACCACCAACGCCGATTCCGCCGTTCCCGCCGCTACCAGCGCCGCTAGGTTGCAATGCGCTGGAAGTTTCAACGAGCGTCCCGCGCAGCCTATGATTGATTCTCCGCCAGTTTCGGTGCGCGGTTCCGTGGACCCGTTTCTCATGAAATACCGCCTAGACACGCAGGCGACGAGCCATAGCTTCGGGGGCTTGCCTTCTGCTGCGGAAGGTTCGTCGAGTGGTGTTACTGGCAGGAGTAGCTGCAGCGCTTCGGGCCTTGGATGGAACAACGGTGGTAACAGTCGTTCCAGTGGTACCAGCCTGAACCTGAGTGACAATAATGGAAGTCCGAACGGGAGCCCCGGTGTTTTGAGGACCAGGTTCGGTATTTCCAAATCGCACCCCTCCGCGGAAGCAGGTTTAGTGGATAGTGAGCGAACGGGAGAGAAGGGGGGAGAGGCGTCTGGTGCGGGGAGGGATGGGGGGAGGCAGGGGGGATGGAGCGCGCAGGAGATGGCATTAGAGAATTCGCCAGTTAGGAACGCTGCCCTCTCCATGCGTGTGAGGGCTGGAGCGAATCCTGCTGCTGTGGAGGCATATTTGAGGATGAAGGCGCTAAGGGATGGTGCGAGAACTGTACGGAAATGAATAAAGTAGGCAGTATGTATTCACTATATTTGTAATATTTGTGCATTTTTCTTCACACTGGCTTTGGATCTCATACTACACAACTTTATTACTGCAACTTGTACAAGGTAATTACAACCCAAACGTAATTTAGGGCACTGGACTGGAAACATATACTGTACCATTCTACACTAGATTTGAACTAAATATGCACCATTAGCTGCCGCCGACAGCTGCAAGGGCAGCAGGAGCAGCAGCAGGAGCAGCAGCACGCGCTCTCTCTTGCGCCTTCCGCTTGAAGTACAACTCAACGGCGGCGGGATTGGCTCCGCCTACCACCTCCACAGAGCAATCTCTCGTTTTTATTCTCCCCTTGAAATCCGCCCCAGCTGAAGTTATTTTTCCAGCGGAGGACATTTCGTTGGGAGCGGATTCGCTGCTGCTAGAAGATGCTTCAGAGGGAGAGCGACCGGCAACGAACAGTAACGGACTTCTAGGCGATTCTTGACGGCTACCCGACACTTGACTGCCACAAACAGCCGGCAGAGATGTGCAGGTGCTTGATCGTCTGACAGAAGAAGGTTCCGCGACGCCGGCAACATCTGCAGTCGATGATTGTGGGGTCGCAGAGGAAATTGAAGTTCTCGCGCCGCCCATGTCACTTGAGGGCCCAGGGGCTTGATAAGCGGCGGCTCGGTATGCTTGCAGGGGGCTCTTGCTGGCGCCGCCGCGGCTTGTCGCGCCGGAACTCCCGAGTGCGAAGCTTCCGCCAACGGGCCAGCGGTTGCGCGCGGATTCGCTTCGGGGGCGCACGCCGCCATGCGCCGACTCTACGTAGATCCAAGCAAGGGAACAAAAAGTACGCGAATGGATTGATTAGTGTCTTCTCCGAGAACGGCGCGAATAGAGATTCCTGTAAAATGTCAAGCAGTTACTACTACCAATGCGAGGGGCTGTTAGTACGAATCTCCTGCGGGCGATCATCAAACGCGGAGGTTCGCTCACCTGAAGCTCGGTCAGTCATCGTGGCGGCTTTCCATTCCATCGCGGAAATAGGAGCCGCCATGGCTTGATCGAATCCCTTCCTGGAGCTGCTTTCGCGTCGACTCAGTAGCTCTCGGCTCGACGTCTCGGAAATAGAGGCCATGGCTGGAGCGGATGCCTTCGCGTCCCGCGCACTCCCAGGATTCTTCTTCATCTTTATACACGGAACCCGCCGCGGCGTCTAGCATCGCGAAATGCCGCTCGATCGCCGGGTCGGAAGCAGGGAAGAAGCGCGCCATATTCCTGCTAGTGCTAATTCAGTAGCAAGGTGGCGTCCGTAGTAAGCGAAAAAGGTCACTGAAGGATGCAGATGGGATCGATTGTGAAGCGCTTCGAGAGCAAAGCTAGACAAGGACGACGTGAGGGGGGGACCTGGAAAGGGCCTGGAGTTGACGGCAGGAACTACAGGTGTGATGTGAAGTGAGGATAGATACTGCACAAAACGAAGTTACGAATGTACTGTATCGTGCATGGTGGAGTGGAAGGTGACGCATTTTGATTGCTCGTGGAGCTTCACTGCTGTCACTCCTTCCAGCCAATGCCGGAGCTGACGTACCGTCCATGATGCTCGTTCTCTGGACTAAATTACACGACTGGAGATGGACGAATCATAGAGCGCAGACGAACAAATCCGTCCAATCAAGTGCTACAGCATAGCACACACCCTTCCTTTGTTTGACGAACCGCGCTCTTTTCCAGAATTGGCTTGAAAACCACGTGGGCAAATACAGTGCAGTACCCCAACGAAAACCATAGAGCCTGAATCTCGAACCTGCACTCTAGCCCCGGAGTATCCCCCGAACCGACGCAGTACTATGGCTGGGTGAGTTGAAACTTGACAGAAACGTTTTGTGGTGGTGATTGCGCCGCTTGTGCTCGCGCCGCCATTTGGAGATCCGAACTCACTGCAGCCCGAGGCAGTAGAAATAGAACAGAAAGCCAAGACAGTGTGGATAGGGGGCAAACCGGACCTCCTTTGAGTGCACTGAATGGGCATCGGCCGACTCTCGGGATTAGGAAAAGGCCCCGGCAGAACCAAAAGCAGTCAATGAATGATGCCACAAAGCGAGGGCTTGTTATTCACGCCGTGGTTCCGCGTACCTTATCGGCCCCGAACCACTCCCGAACGTCTCTGAAGTCTGGATCCCTTCGAGGACATCCCCAGACAATTCCATGTCTCGATTAAAAAAATATCTGGACAAAATCTCGATATAGCACGTCGTCGTATGTTTCACCTCTTCGTTCTCAGCTGGAGCTCCCTCACTAAAGACCTTCCTAAGTTCGAACAAGTTGGCATCTCGCCCCCGCCCAACTAACCTTTCTAACTAAAAAATTAGGCATGCAGATTATGATTTTCTAGCACTAATCGAGATGAGGCTTATGTGACTGGACCAAATAGCAGTCTTTATGGCATATGCCTTATGCACAAATGATAATAATAATAATAAAAAAGACTGTCGCTACTTCGCTTGTGAATGGTACAGGTCAACCCCATATTTGTCTGCGTCACTTCAGAGCACTGCCAAATGCAACAGATGGTGAGTGAACTGAGAGCCACAAAAGACAATGCTGAGTACAGCCACAGTAGAAGTACCTATAGAGGTATGCTCCAATTCCAAGAAGCACAAGGATAAGTATAAGGTCAATGCAGAACTTCCGTGGTGACCGAACCTATTCCAGCACAGTAAGTGTTAGAGAAAACCAAGTGGGAAAATGTGTCCACGTCTTTGTCCTCACCTCGGTCAGAATCTCCTTCAACCTCTTATTATTGTTCCGCAGCGTTTGAGTTGTTGAGTTGACCTAAGAAACAAAAATGATTTGAGTTGGGCAGTTCATCCCCAATAGAAGAATTGCATTGTCAGCAACTTACGAATTGCATTGCCAGCAACTTACCTTGTTCTCAACTGCTTCCAACATTGGATCTTGACGATCCATTTCCTGAAAACAAGCGAATACATTATGTGCTGTTAAACAACAAAATGCCTCGCTGGAAAACAAAGTACCTCATTCATGTCTTGGGCAAGATGCCTCAGTTTCTCAAGACCACTAGAGATGTACTCCAGCTCGACATCCTGCAAACAGAGATCATGATGTGTTTGACAGCGGAGGCAAGATCGGTGCATCTTGCAAACAAAGTGGCGTGAGCTTTAATCGTGTTGACACACAGAAGACCACAAATACCTGCTTCTGGACTCGGCGAGTATATTCACTTCTGAACGCCCTGGATTCAGCCGTTGAGATGAAGTGATCCCCTGTTGGTCCAGAGTCGCCTGAAGGACCGTCCCTTGTTAAGCCAGACATCTTAATAACCAGCGCATGTCAATGACTTACCCATTTCGAGAGCGTCAATCTGGACGTCTGAAACGCCCCGTGTAGATGCGACGGTCCTCCCACCTCCTCTCGCAATGCCATCAGGAATCGCCTGAACCTTTTCCATGAGCGTTCTGACCATGTCTGGCCTCTTCGCAGCCTCGTCAGGCGAAACTCCTTTAACCTGAAGTCCGAATCACTTTAGAAACATGTCACACTAATGCTTTTATTCAAATCCAGGTAGTTGAATACCTTCCGATACGCGAGCTTCTCAAGCCGTTGAATTTCCTTCTGCAAAATGTCTTTAGCTCGCCTGATCTCGGCATTCAGCACCGCAACCTTGGCCAGATTCCTCTCAATAACAGCTGCATTTGATTTCTGCGACGGCGCATATGCGATAAGCGTCCAATCTAAACAAAAGAGAAAACTTGAATCTACCAGAATTTATCGCTTACCTCGATCACCTCCTCCACCTCTACTGTAACCGCTGCATACAAAGTCATGAAGCTGTCCGTCGCATCTTCTTTCGTAACAGTCTCCTTCGTGTACGGCTCATAACGCCGTCTGATAACATCAACCCGAGTTAGGATGTCAGCGGCACTCATGGCTCCTTGAGTGAGGTAACCACGCCTTCTGTCTAGTGACCACCTCTCGGACCGATGAGACGGAACGAAAATTTCGAATGAGAAAGCAAAAGAAAGAGTGACCGCAACCCGTGTCCGCTGGCTGCCCTGCTGTGCTCCCTTCAACCTGAGTCCACCACCTGCTCCTGCACCCTGGTCCCTCCAACTCTCGCGCAGCGCTGGATTCGGCAAACGAAAAGATACCGTAGACTCGATTGGTGAATCAATACACGAAAAAGAGCACCCTTGTTTCTGACAACTGAATGATTTATCCCTTTTGCTAGGATCAAGAAACAATACTAGTCCATGTATGCCTTACCTAAATCCATATATCATTTGAGTTATAACTACTGCTGGTTATTGTGCCCACCAGATGTAAAATCCACAAGCCGCTGGAGCAAGCCGGGCGACCCATCAAAACCATCCAGGCCTGCTGAAGCAAGAACTGCAGCTATGGCTGCGGCATCAGAACCCTTTGAAGCTGAACTTGGCCCATCAATGGTGGAGAAACATGAAACACTTCGACCAAAGTGATGCCCAGATGAGTCAGGGAAAATCCCAGGTGAGGGGAACAGAGACTCTGGCCCAGATCCCTGCCATGATTTAGGGATAATAAACATGGAAGTGGGAGACATGTTAAATTATGAGATTAAGAGATGGATAGAACATCCCGGTGCAAAAAAAAAAAATGGACAGGGCCTACTCCGGTCGCTCACCTTGAGCTGCTCCCCTATCGCTTGCTGCAGCTGCGCCAAACTCGGCCGCGAATTCTCCCCCCCTTGCACCAGCTCGCCCCCAATCGCGCCCCCACCCACCACCCCTCCCATCCCCTGCGCCCCTCGCACACTCCCTTCTTGTGTTCCTGCTGCACCACCCCCGTCCACACCATTAGGACTCTCTTCTGACAGCCATGCTGCCACCAGATCTGCCACATTGGAATCAAGCAGCTCCCCTGCCCCTGACCCACTGCCTGCTGTGCCCGCTGCTGCCCCTGCTGCTCCTGCTGCTCCTCCTCCTGCTGCTGCAATGCCACCTCCCGTGACCCCACCCATAGAAGCGTCCGTACCAGCACGCAGGGCAGCAGCAGTAGCACCACCCACACTGCTACCACTGCCGGATGGGCCAGCATTGCCCTGGAAAGCAAACCGGCTAGCCACCATCCCCCCAGCATGGCCACCAAACCCACCACCACCACCACCAGCCCCACCACCAGCACCACCGCCCCCTCCCAAGCCACTACTCCTGCCCACGCCATGCCCACCGGTCCCCACCGCACTGCTACCACTCCTGGGAGGGGGTCGCTCCATGGGCATGCTCCGGCTGCGGTTGAACCTTGAATTCGCCAGGTTCATTCTGAACGGCTGGCACGCAGGTACAGCCTGCCCAGATACGCCCAATGCCCCATCTTCTCCGCCCATTCCTGCCCCAATCGCTCCACCTGTTCCCCCTTCCCCTCCTGCATTCCCCCAGCCGCCAGCCTTCACCAGATCTACCTCCCCCTCAAACCCACCGTCCTGTCCAAACGAGAGGGTCCCACCTCCCCCAGGTCCCCCTGAACGTGGGGACAGGTTCAGCTGGTTCGCCTGCAGGAAAACCCGGCTCTGCTTGCTACTGAAGCTACCCCACAGCCCTGCTCCTGCCCCTCCTGCCCCTCCTGCTCCCCCTCCTGCTGCTGCCACCTGCTGCTGCTCCCCTCCTCCTCCTCCCCCTTTCTCGCTGCCTCCCCCTAGGAAGGCCTGTGGCCGGGGCGGCCGGGGAGGCGGCAGGGGCGAGGGAGGAGGCGGGGAATCCGCTTTCCCATCCCCCCTGCTCCCACTTCTCCCGTCCGCTTTACTGGAGTTAAGGCTCAGCCCTCCCACGAGCTGAATGGTACCATCAATGATGGTAACCGGTGCGTCTGGTAACGGCCCTGCTACACTGCGACGGAGGGACGGCCGGAGGGAGCGAGACTGGGAGCGGGGGCTGGTAGGGCCGACACTGGAGATAGATCGTTTCTTGGACATGAGAGGGGGAAGGGTGAGAGACGCAGCGGCGCTTTTCCCCCCGCCCAGCCCGCTTTTCTGGGGTATGAAGAGACGCTCCCCTCGGGTTCCGTGGTGGTCCGGGGACGAGGCTCCCGAGGCTGGGAATGCGGATCGGGGGTTGTCGCTGCAGGTTCGGCGCAGGTCCGGGAACCAGGACGGGGAGCTGGGGCTTTCCAGGTCCTCATCTCCATCCCCCCCTTCGTCCTGATGTGCTTCTCTGAATCGCCCCGCGCCGATCTCCTCGGAGAATCCCAGCCGTGGACGGAACCGGAGCTCCTCGATCAACGGCTTGGATTTGCCGGGAGAGGGGGCGTGGTCCCAGCCAGATCCCCAAGGGGCGGACGGGGAGGGGAATGGGGCAAGGAGGGAAAGGCCAGGGGAAGCTGCGAAAGCAGCTGCAGGGGCGGCTGTGGGGGCAGCGGGGGTGGGGGCAGATGTTGGGCTGGCTTTGGGGCTGACAGTAGGGAAAGAAAAGCCGGTGCCAGTGGGGTGGGCAGAAGGGGCAGCAAAAGCAGGAGGAGCAGTGGGAGCGGTAGGAGAAACAGTAGCGGTGGTAGCAGTCATTGGTGCTGTAAAAAGCCCTGCTGTGCCTTGTGCTTCTGCTGTGCCTTGTGCTGCTGAAGTGGGAGCTGAAAACCCTCCTGCCTGCTGCATCCCCTGTGCCTCTACCGTTGCTGCCAAACCAGCAAACCCACCACCCGCAGCAGCCCCACCAACCCCTACAGCTCCAGCATTCCCAGCAGCGCCAGCAGCGGCAGCAGTGCCTGCCAGCACGAGCGCCTGCTCCTCGCCCTCTTCCAGTGCAAACACGTCTATCCCGTCCCCATCCGCCCAGTCTAATGGCCCTGGATCGATTGAGAGGTCCGGTAGCTTGCCATCCAGGGCGAAGGCAGCTGCAGCAGAAGCATCCGCGTTATTAGCAACAGCGGTAGCAGCGGTGGCGTTGGTGTTGAGAGAAGGAGCACCAGCAGCAGTGTTGGGGTCGGCAGTATGAGTAGATGCATCCATTGGCTGGGATTGCATGGCTTGTGACTGCATGTTGAGAATTTGAAGCTGTAGGTCCAGCGCTTGCTGCATCTGCTGTAGCTGTTGCTGCTGCTGCTGCTGCTGGTGCTGCTGCTGGTGCTGCTGCTGGTGCTGCTGCTGGTGTTGCTGCTGTTGGTGCTGCTGCTGCACTTGCTGCTGTTGCTGTTGCTGCTGTTGGTGTTGCTGCTGCATCGATTGTGCGCTGCCAGGGCTTTGAACGTCTCCTTGAAGGACCTGCAACAGACCACAACAGCGCAACACACACCAAGCAGTCAGGCACATGGCACAGGAGTGTATGAAAAGGGAAATTGTCGAGATCGGTTGGCTTCAAAAAGCAGCATCTGCGTCTTCTGGGGATTCTACGCTCCCTTTGAGTTTTTTTTTCAAGGTGATACAATTGTAACTAGATGCACGCACACACACAGGGTGACTTTGAGTGGATCCCAAATCCAGCTCTCATTCTTGCAACTTGCTTCATGAAGCATGAAGAACAGAGACTAAATGTGCAAATTGCATCGAGGCTGCTGCTGAGTGCTGAGTGCTGAGTCCTGAGCACCTCAGCTACTGCTCAGTGCTCAGTGTGATGGGCCATCACATGCCCCCATTCCCCCCTTTCCTGCTCCCCATTCCCTCATCCCCTGTGTCCCATTCACCCGTCCCTGTGTCCCATTCCCACATCCATGTGCCCCATTCGTCCATACAATGTGGCCCATTCACCCATCCCCTGTGCCCAATCGCCCATCCCCTGTGCCCAATCGCCAAACCCCTGTGCCCTATTCCTCCATCCCGGTGCCTCATTCGGCCATCCCATGCACCCCACTCAACCAGGCCCCCCCACGGCCTCACTCACCTTGAGCAGCAGGGCGAGCTGGTCGGCAGTCAGAACACTCGCAACCTGATCCAACGCAGACATACTTCCCCCTCCCCCTCCTCCCCCTCCTCCATGTGCCCCATTCACCCACCCTATGCGCCCCAATCGCACATCTCATACGCCTCACTCACCTTGAGCAGCAGGGCGAGCTGGTCGGCAGTCAGAACACTCGCAACCTGATCCAACGCAGACATACTTCCCCCTTCCCCTCCTCCCCCTCCTCCATGTGCCCCATTCACCCACCCTATGCGCCCCAGTCGCCCATCTCATACGCCTCACTCACCTTGAGCAGCAGGGCGAGCTGGTCGGCAGTCAGAACACTCGCAGCCTGATCCAACGCAGACATACTTCCCCCTCCCCCTCCTCCCCCTCCTCCATGTGCCCCATTCACCCACCCTATGCGCCCCAGTCGCCCATCTCATACGCCTCACTCACCTTGAGCAGCAGGGCGAGCTGGTCGGCAGTCAGAACACTCGCAGCCTGATCCAACGCAGACATACTTCCCCCTCCCCCTCCTCCCCCTCCTCCATGTGCCCCATTCACCCACCCTATGCGCCCCAGTCGCCCATCTCATACGCCTCACTCACCTTGAGCAGCAGGGCGAGCTGGTCGGCAGTCAGAACACTCGCAACCTGGTCCAACGCAGACATACTTCCCCCTCCCCCTCCTCCCCCTCCTCCATGTGCCCCATTCACCCACCCTATGCGCCCCAGTCGCCCATCTCATACGCCTCACTCACCTTGAGCAGCAGGGCGAGCTGGTCGGCAGTCAGCACACTCGCAACCTGATCCAATGCAGACGTAACAACCCCTCCCCCTCCTCCTTCTCCTCCTCCGCCCGCTCCTCCCCCTCTTCCCCCTCCTGCTCCCCCTCCTGCTCCTCCTGCACCTCCTCCTCTTCCTTCACCCCCCACGGGGCCAGCAGCAGCAGCAACGGTAGCAGCAAGAGATGGATCTAGAACCAGTTGCAGCAGCGCCAGCACCTCAGATCCTGCTGCTCCCCCACCTGCTCCCGCCCCCCCTGCTGTTCCCCCTGCTGCCCCCCCTGCTCCCCCTGCTCTCCCCGCTCCCCCTGCTCCCCCTACTCCCCCTGCTGCGCCCATGTCCCCTCCCCTCCGACCCCATCCCCCACGGCCCCCATCCTCCGACCCAGAGGCGGAAACTCTCCCCGGCACGGACGAACTTTTAGCAAAGCGCGAGCGGGAATAAAAGGGGTGACTGGAGGGGGAGCCCGCAGAGGAGGAGGACTGGGCGGGGTTGGCGGGAGTGGGGAAGGAGAGAGACAGACCAGGAGGAGCAGCACCAGCAGCACTAGTACCACCAGCACCAGCACCGCCGCCAGCATTGGCTGCGGAATTGGCAGCAGCAGCAGCATTGGCAGCAGCGGCAGCCTGGGCATTTGCCGTGTTGGCATAACCTAAAGGCATGGATAAGGCCCGCCCCATACCAGGCGCCAGCAACGCCCTGGCAATCTCCTTCTGGAACTCTGCTGCTGCCCGGTCCAACTCCGACCGTCGATCGCCGCCCCGGGCCGCATCCAACAGCCCGGATCGCGCGCCGAGAAACGATCCACGGCTGTGCTGGCGCGCCCGGGACTCTGCCCTGGAAAGAGAGGATGAGCGCATGAACCCAGCCGCCCCCATCCCCCCTGGCCCCATCTCCCCTGCGCCCATTCCCTCGGACCCCATTCCCCCTGCCCTCATCCCCCCCATCCCCCCTGCTGCTGCACCAGTGGTGAAGCCGCCTCCTCCCGACTGCCGCACCCCTGCTTTCTGCTCGTGCCCCTCTCCCTCACCGCCGGAGCTCCCCCCATCGGAAACAGAGCTTCCTGCGGGAGGCCATGAGGGGTTGCGGGGGAAAGCTGCTGCCGCCCCTGCTCCCGCTGCTGCTCCTCCTGCTGCCCCTGCTGCTCTGCCTGCTCCTGCTGCGCTTTGCGCTGAGCTGAATGCCCCAGGGAAGACTGCTGCTCCGCCTCCTCCTCCCCCTCCCCCTCCCCCCCCCCCCCCTCCCCCTCCTGCTGATGCTGCGTGGCTGTTTGGCTGGGAGACAGAGCGGGGCACGGCGGTTCTAAAAGGCGCTCCTTGACCCACGCGGAAGGCTAACCCACCCAGGCCTGCAGAGGCGGAGGGGGACGCGGGTTCCCCCTTCACGAGCCCCTGCATCAGCTCCCCCAGGCTGATCCCCATCCCCCCCCCTCCCCCTGCCCCTGCGCCCATGCCCATGCCCATGCTCATTCCCATGTCCATGCCCATGGGCCCCCGCATGCCTCCGCCCATGCTTCCGCCCATGCCTCCGCCCATGCCTCCCCCCATGCCCATCCCCGTGCTGAATCCGCCAAGGCCTCCGCTGGAGAAGCTGCTCCCCCCAAATCCCCCCATACCACCTCCGCCTCCGCCCATACTGGCCCCCGCGCCAGAGCTGCCTCCTGCGCCCCCCAGCCCCCCCTGGGTCTTGAGCGACTGGATGTACCTCAGGAGCAGTGTGGGGCGCTGCACTGCCTTGCTGCGAGACGATTCCTCCTGATGTGGGGCGGTGCAATGCGGTGGAGTGGGGTGGTGAGGTGGAAGGAGAAGGTGGTGGGAGAAAGGGAGGTCTTGAGTGACGGGATGTGTTGCTGTTGCGCTTTCTAATCTCCCGCTCCCCCACACTACCGCGCAACCCCATTACCACTTCACATCTTCACGCTGTTGTCTCTCCGCCCTTGAATGCCCTCTTTTAACCTCTCTCTTTCCCCTTTCCTTCCCTTTACTAACCACTCTCCACCAGTCCCCTCAATCCCCCTCTGTACGCACCTTGCGGCGGATGGTGGAGCTCCAGTGGTTCTTCACGCTGTTGTCTGTGCGCCTCAACACCTCTTGTTCTCTCTCCCCATCGTCCCACCTTCCTGTAAACCACTCCTCCCAGTGCCCCTGCCAACCCATTGTTGCGGCGGATGGTGGAGTTCCAGTCGTTCTTCATGCTGTTGTCTGTCCGCCTTTGCTTGCCTTCGATACCCCCTTCGCCTCCCCTCCCCTTCCCTTACCAACCTCTGCCCATCACTCTCTCAATCGCCCCCCAACCAGCTTACCTTGCGGCGGATGGTGGGGCTTCAGTGGTTCTTCACGCTCTTGTCTGTCCACCCTTGCTTACGCTCATACCTCTCCCCCACCCCTCCTTACCTCTTCCAACCGCTGTCCACCACCCCCCAATTCCCCCAACAACCTTACCTTGCGGCGGATGGTGGAGTTCCAGTGGTTCTTCACGCTGTTGTCTGTGCCCCCTTGCTTGCCCTCTTTACCTCTACCCCCGTCCATCTTTCCCGTTTCCAACCACTCCCTCCAATCACCTCTGTCAACTCACCTTGCGGCGGATGGTGGAGTTCCAGTGGTTCTTCACGCTGTTGTCCGTCCGCCCCGGCAGCAGCTTGGCAATTTCCGCCCACCGGTTCCCCAGCTTCCTGTGCGCCTCCACCAGCTTCGCCTCCTCCTCCTCCGTCCACGCGTCCTGTGGGAAGAAAACCGTGAAGGACAAACACAGGGGGAGGGAGGTTGGTGGGGGGGAAAGGGGAGTGAGGGAAGCGGAAGGGGGTGGTGGGTACAGTGGCTCAAATACGGTTTCCCAGCTTCCTGTGTGCCTCCACCAGCTTCACCTCCTCCGTCCACGCGTCCTGTCAGAGGCGAGAAATCAGGCAGCGGGGACGGGGAGGGGAAGGGATGGAAGGAGGGGAGGGAGGAAGGGGGGAAGGGGGGAAGGAATGAGGAGAAGGGGTGCGAGAAAGAGAGGTGGGTGTTGGAATTCTCGAACTCAGCAACCAACTTCTTCTTATATGAGCCTCACCAAGTTCAGATTTCTTGATCTCCGTCTCGCCTTCTTGATGTCGTGCTTGATGTGGTTGTGCCACCGTGCGCAGCACTGCCTCCCCACAAGAAAGAGATATTTCAATACGCACAACCACCGTGTTTTGACCTAAAAATGCACCTCTCTATGTCTCAGTATCTTGATTCGCTCCATTTCACCTTCTTGATGCCGGTATGAACATTATCGATACTCTCAACCACCTTGTATTGACCTAAGCTTCGCTTTCTCTCCGTCTCACCTTCTTGATGCCGTGCTTCAGGTGGTTGTGCCACCGCTCGCGGCACTGCTTCCCCGCGCGCCCCTTGAGGTGCGCCGCAATGGCGGACCACCGCTGGGCTCCGTCCTTCTCCACCAGTTTCCGCAGCAGCTCGTCCTCCTCCTGAAGAGGTGAAGGGAATAATAGGGTCGGGTCGGGGGGTTGGGAGAAAGTCAAGAACCTCTTCAGCAGCAGCTACAGCTGCGATGTGAACGAGCAAAATAAGGACTCGTTCCACTCCACCAGTTTCCGCAGCAGCTCGTACCGTGAAGTGACCCATAGTTTCGATGACCCTTCAAACGAACTCACCTAACAAAAGAATATCCCCCTCCAGCAAAAAACGCAGAGGTTAATAAACGCATAGCCTAAGAATCCCGTCCGTCCTAACTGACATTATTTTGAGGCGCCTAAAAAACAAAGCCACCGAACCGGATCCGGGACCCCTTGACCTTGGCGTAAGCTCGCAGACACATCGCCCACCTTAGGGATTCTTCGCTTAAAGTCCATCTCAAATCTGAAACCTAAGAATCCGTACAGCGGTCCAGTGAATCTGTTGACGTTCGTTTTCGCTCGCGAAACGCGACAACATCATTCCCACCCGCAAAGAACATATCAAGCCGAAACCTAAAAAATGCTTACTGGATTCCAGTGAATCCATTGACGTCGGTGTTCGCTTGCTGAAGCATCGCTCCCCATTAATGTCTGGTTAGTTCTAGATCATCTGAAACCGAAAACCCAAGAAAGCGTACCGGAATCCATGGACCCTGGGGGTTGGTGTTTGCTTGCGAAAACAAAACGATCCTAACGAAATACCCAATAAGGCGTACCGGCGTCCATTGTCCCTTGGCGTTGGTGTTGGCTCGCGGAAACATCACTCCCGCGTGCGCATCCTCGCCTCCTGAGCCCTCGCCGTCGCTCCCGTCGCCATCGTCACCAGCTGCCACGTCAGCCATCATCGCAGCACCTGACGCCAGCTGATCGCGCTGCTGCTCCACCTGTTGTTGCTGCCGTTGCTGGACTTGATTCTGTTGAGATTCGGCTCCGCTTGAGGGAATCCTTCCTGTTTCGTCAGCCATAGCCATAGCTGTATCCTCTCTAGACAGCGCACTCTCAAACCCTAACGGATTCGACCAATCGTTTCCGTCAACTTTTCCGTCTACGCTCATCGTCCGTCCCGTGTCCTCCACTTCTGCTGACGTACCCGCACGCCTGTATACCGCATCACCCACGGAGCCTGGTTGATCGACCATCTTTAGATCGGTCGAAAACGATTCTGGAAGTTCAGCCATGACCTTTCTACCTTTCGCTCGACGAGGAACGACAGAAATCACTTTCTTGGATGACAGTTAACAGGCTGACATTACTCCACGTAGGTTACTCGATAGAGGAACAATAGTACTGCAGTCGCTCGAACGCCAGGCAGTAAGATGCGAGTGTGTACGCGCAACAGTACACGTGGAAAAGGATGCGGTTTCTTGTTCTAGTTGCTCCGTCTGCCCTTCTGCACTTTCCTTTTTTTCCTTCTGTGTCACCAACCAGAGAACTTCTTCGCGCTCGTGGCGGAACTGTATTGCAGCAACGCAGCAACAAAACCCAGATTGTCCGTCAAAGCGCACGACTGAATAAAGCAGTGCTGCTGTGCAGTCGAGTGGACAATCGACAACGCTTTAGGGCGGATTCCTGGGCCCGGACACCATCCGAAGTTAGCCCACCTGAATGGTTTTGGTGTGAGGATGGTGCCCGTGTGGGGCAGGGCCCCACTCTGGACAGTTGGCAGGGTCCGTCAGGGGTTGACTGTCGCACGCGTCAATTTTGTTCGCGACCAATCAGGGTGTCCCATGATAGGCTGTAGTCCAGCAGCGACAGTCCTTGGGGCGCCAAAATGAAACAGCCAGCTCTAACTTTCGGGCACTTGTAAAAACAATGACCCCGTAATGTTCGATAGTGTTTGCGTGAATACATTCTGTATTGAAATTACAATCACTGCACCAATATTGATGGCCACACCGGGGCAGCGAAATCATCGAAAGTGAACACATTACACTCTTGACAGCTGAGCTGTCTCGAGAGCATTGGATAATGGAAAGATCGCACAGCAAGACACTTGACGTGCAAACTGGTCGCACTTCCACTGGCCGGTTGAGATGAACGTGTCCAGACCACGGACCGCGTGGCCGAACATTTAATGTGATTTTCGACATTGCGGACCGCGTGGCACTACTTCGGATGGTGTCCGTGCGTAGGAATGCGATATGATCCTTCTACCTGCTCCCTGCTTTCTCCCTAGTGCTAGCACAACGCACAACCATACACTTGCACCATCAGCAGCAGAGCAGACCAATGAAATCATGGAGAATGCAACCTGGACACGAAAAAGGGAAACTGGACCCCATAAATTGGGCACTGAACAACGGATGGGTACCGAACACTTCCGGAAACGGAAAAGCGACTGTGAGTTCGGTGGGAAAACAATGCGCAGGAAAGGAGTGGGAGAAATTCGGTGGAGGATAAAAGAATATACCTGATCAATGGGGAGAATATGGAAACAAGCAGCAGTCGGGGAGGGAACTGGGGGGAGTCGGAAAGCGGGGGGGATCGCTCTACGGGAAGGGGGAAAATGGGGTTTGGGACGAATGCGAGGGAGGGAGGGCTCGGCTCAGTGGAGGGGATCCGGGGCGGCGGAATGGCGGGAAGGGCGGAAGTTTAGACCCTGGACGGGCAGAACGCGGCAAGCTTCCTGCCATTGCGACCGAGGTTCCTTCCTGATTCCTCTACAGTAATTCCTTCCCTTTTATGACCGTGTTTATTGGACAACGACGTTCGCCATGGGTGCCTTTTGTCGCAGAATAGTGTGTTGTTGACGGAGGAAAAAGGCTGCAGCTTTTCTCTTATTGGTGGACGAACAAACGCATCGTATATGAAGCACGATTTGCTCACCACATGTTGAGCGTGTCCCCCTGTCGCGGTCGTGAGGTGACAGAGATCTGACGGAACGGAAACGAACAAACCGACTGATCACCTCCTCCATGCGGACTGCGTGTGCGAGGAAGGGCCTCCACCGACACAATCCCAGTTTGCCGTTTCCATCCGTTTTTTTCAGTTACAGGTCGAGGGTCTCGTGACAGTAGCGAGGCGGAAATTTTAACCCAAGTGATACTCCAAGTGATTCTACAGTGCATGTAGAAGATCCCACAACCAGTTTTCCTGTGATTATCATATGCACTTTGCAACACAAATTACATTGATTTTTTCCATGAATTTTTACTGCCCTCCTGGCATGCATGCGCTCGATGTCCCTGATTGTGACCGGAGGGGGGGGGGGGGGGGGGGGGGGGGGGGCTCATGGCAAAGAGGATGGAGAGTGGGGCCACAACGGGTGGGGGGGGAACGGGGAGATGGACATGGAGGCACTGACAGCGTAATTGGAGCAGAAGGGGAAGGGGACAAGGCACGTAGGTGCCTTGTTGTACGAGAGACACATGAAATGGCAGCAGGAGCAAGGGAAACGGAGGGGAGATAGGGCTGCAGATTGGGGGGGACCGATTGTGGGAGTGGGGAGGTGACAGTGTGCGAAGAGACAAGGGGAGGGGCTTGGAGCTGGAAGGGAGGTATCTGGGGCAGAGAGGGCATGCGAGACAGCGCATGGGATAAGTATGGAAAGGGTTGACACGGGGAAGGCTGCTTCTTGGGTAGGTGATCCGATTGGGATGGGCCATGTGACAATGAGGGGGGGGGGGGGGGGGGGGTGGGGAGACAGATAAGGGGGGTGAAGGAGGGCCAAAAGTTAAGGCAAAAGGGGGCACGGAGGCAGTAGCAAGGGGGGGAAGGTAGTGTTAACAGCAGCAAGTAGGGGTATAAGAGGAGCTGGATGGGTGATACACGTGAAAGACAAGGCAAGAGAGGAGATAAGGAGGAATGCCTTTAGGGTTGGAGGACCAATTGGGATAGAGCAAGGTGCTGTGGCAATGGAATTAGGACAGGATGGGGGGGAGTAGGAAGGTTAGTAGGGGAAACCCGGGGTGGTGAGGCGAAGTCAAGGACGAAGGAGCAGCATAGCTACCAGGTTGAGGGGAGATTGTTGACGGAAATGTGGCCCCGCCATCGCTTGGGCGAAGCCGACTTCGCTGTCGGGTGCGCGCGAGGTGCAACTAACTGCCAACAGTGGTCGACGCCGATGTTAAATTTAGAGCGAAGAAAAAATGGCTATAATGAGAACAGTACAAGGTTTGTATAGGCAAAACCTAACAAAGCTGTACCCCATAAGGAGTGCCCCACTACAGCCTAGAGTATAGTTCTGACACATCTCCATAGGCAAAGTGGGGGACAAGCAAGAGAACAAGACAAGGTCAAGCTCAGGGTGGATCACGACGTCACCACGCAGTCTGAGCACAAGCAAAGGCCACAAGGCCAGTTCACATGCAGAGTTATATATCAAGATGAACAAGCAGTACATCGATCTCAACCTAAAAAGTGTAAGCATGCAGGCGCAGGAATATATAGATCACAGTACAAGCAAAGTCAAGAGGTGAGCAAGTGAGGCCAAGTAGGCACTAGACCTAACAGAGTACAGAAACGCTGATGATCACAAGGCTGAAGTGCCTTGGTAAAAATATCAGCATTGTTGGCCCGAGTGGCCACGTAAGCAAGACGAAGCTGACCACGCTACTGCAACTCTCGAGCAAGGAAGTAGCGAAGAGCGATGTGCTTCATTCTGTGCTCCAGTCTTTGCTCCTGACACAAGGCAATCATGACCTTGTTGTCGACGTACAGAACTGGAGGAGAACGAGGCGCCTCTCCCAAGTCGGTCAGCAGGTAGGTGAGCCAGCGTAACTCCTGTGCAGCCATGGCCCCTGCGTAGATCTCAGCCTCACAACTGGAGCTGAGAACAAAAGACGAGCGGGTAGACCGCCACAAAACAGAGCCAGAACCAAGGCTGAAGGTGTAACCCTATGACGACCACTACGTAGCCAAGTCGTCAACCCAAGAAGCGTCTGCGTGACCAGTGAGGACAACTCGAGCCCGTCCTCCAAGCACGAGCCCCATGCCCGACGTACTGCACAGGTAGTGCAACAACCTCTTCGCTGCAGCCATGTGCTCTGGTCGGTGTTGTGAAGAAATGAGGAATGAATGGAAGGAAGGGGTTTCACTAGCAAGCAGTTGAGTACATATAGCAAACCCTAAATTGGGTTGTACTCACTATTGAGTACCCCACTGCAGGCTAGACAAACATAACATTCTGACAGGTGTCTCCCAGGAGCAACATAGTGTGCCAGGATGCTAAGAGGGTATGCAAGGTCAGGTCGAGTGCAGGTCATCAGGTAGATGAGGCAGCCCACAAGCTCTGGGTACGGGCCACTCGGCTCTACGGACTCATCCAAAGGCAGAGCTGAGAGCGAGTGGCGAGTAGACAGAGGAGTGGCCTGAGGCGAGGAGTACGTGAAGTTGAAGCGCTGAAGGACCTGTTGCACCATGTCTGACTGAGTCAGGGTAATGGTGCGCCGTGCTCTGTCCCAGGTGATCTGCAAGCCAAGATAGCTGCACAACTCAGCCAGGTCTATGCACGTGTGTCTCTTCAGCAGCTCCGACTTCACGTGGGCCAGTCCAGCAGTGTCAGCAGTAGCAAAGACCAAGTCGTCGACGTACACGAGGATGTAGAACGGTGGCAGAGTAGTGTCGGTGCGTAGAAACAGCGACGGGTCAGCAGTGGAAGGAGTAAACCCAAGAGCCGCAAGTGTAGTCCTCAGTGTGTGGTGCCACTCACGGGGCGCCTGGCGGAGACCGTAGACTGGCCGCCGGAGGCTCCACTGGGTACCAAGAGGAAACGACCCAGTGAAGCCAGGTGGGCGGCGCAGCCAGATCTCCTTGTGCATGCTGCCCTGTAGGAAAGCAGTGCTGAATTCAAGGGAGTGAAGCTCATAGTCACGCTGAGCGGCGACGTGCAGAGCACCTGAAGAGTGGTCATCTTCGAGGTGGGGGAGAAGGTATGAAAGTAGTCAACTCCCTGTCGCTGACTGAAGCCTCGAGCAACGTAACTCGCCTTGAAGACAGGCGGAGAACCCGGCGGCCGCTTCACCCT